TTCTTTCAAAGGGAAAAAATAACCAAATACAAGAAGACATCCACTTAAGAGAAACAAGTGGAAGTTGAATCTCTATGTCATCCCCTCCCCCTCGTGTTTAATTTAGCTGCATTATGATATATTAATGTAAATAAAGAGAGACTTCAAAGTCCGTTCCGTATGTTTTGCTCTATCAGAAACCATTTTGAAATAGAAGGCTCTCATCCCGCCCCTATTCAGTCACGAAGGCCACATCTGAAGGGTTCTTCACATCAAAACATTATTCATTTGAGAAAATTGCCCATGTGACGGCAATATTCTCCTCAAAATTGTCCTGAATTTCCATTATCAAGATGGTTGACTACTCATTCAATTTCTCCTTAATGCATTCAGTACATAACTGATTACACGGCCACCAGTGAGAGAGAAGAACGCTCTACATTCCAGTCATGAAGATAAAATACCAAATGGAGTTTCTTTGATCACGCAATCACGCAGCGCAAGTTTCTTTTTTCCTTTTTAGTTTATTTTAGTTATTTTATTACTTTTTACTTCCAGCGAGTTCATTTGCTGGTTTTTTTTTTTCTTTCGCGTGTTTCATTTTTTTCCTGTTTTTCTTTTATTTGTAATTTTTACTTATTTTTCTTTTTACTCCCTTTTTTTACTTTTTCTGCCTGCCGTTCATGCAGATAACATACCAAATGGGGTTGTGGAGTTCCTTTTGATGACTCAATCAATCCAGAAGAGTTTCTTTTTTTTTATTGTTACATTTTTCTTGTTTTCTTGGTTTGTATTTTGTAAACTTTTACTTTTATTTGATTCAGCCTTAGCATTAGGGTTACAATTATGCTTAGGGTTAGCATTGTGGTTAGTTAGCATTAGGGTTAGCATTGTGGTTAGGGTTACATAGTTACATAGTATTTGAGGTTGAATAAAGACATTAGTCCATCAAGTCCAACCTATTAGGATCTCATTCTAGGAGTACCCGTACCCCTGTATATTACCCGTACCCCTGTATATTACCCGTACCCCTGTATATTACCTGTACCCCTGTATATTACCCGTACCCCTGTATATTACCCGTACCCCTGTATATTACGGTCCCTTAAGAAATCGTCCAAAAGTTTCTTGAACAATTCCACATTATTTGCTGAAATCACCGCCTGTGGCAGTGAGTTCCAGACCCTAACTGATCTTACTGTGAAGAACCCCCTTCGCCCCTTGTGCTGGAATTTTTTTTCCACCAATTTTAGGTGATGGCCTCTAGTTTTTGTAACGGAGTTAATTTTAAAC